GACAGAGCTTTGTCAATGAAATCCCCAAAGAAGAATCCTTCGTCCTTCAGTTCTCCTAGAAGCTTGATCCATGACTCGACTCCTTCTTTTCTCATCACTCCCCACCAGCTCTCAATTCTCTGGTTTGCGGTACTTGCTCCTGTGACGTAGCTTCTGTCTCCTGCTCTATCATCCCCGTCATTTCTCCGTAAATCGCTGGAGGTCTTGACCAACAGAGATGGGCAGTAGCGTTACTGTAATCTGATTACTTTTTTCAAGTAACGAGTAAAGTAAGGGATTACTATTGCAAAATACGGTAATTAGATTACCGTTACTTTCCCGTAGGAACGCTGCTTACTGCGTTACTAAAACCGTGATTTTTTGCGAGAATGTCTCAGACAGTGACGTAAGCGAGTGCGCCGTTTGTGACAACAGCTGTGTGCAGATCAACAATGGATCACATATCGAGTGCGGGAGAGAGTATGAGCGTGCAGCGTTTAAAGCGTGGAAGTACTGACCTTACTTTGAGTTTGATTCCATAAAAAGTGACAAAAACATTAGGTCCTTGTGCGTGGGAAGAAAACTTCTTTTTACAGCGAAAAAAACCCCTAAACTTCCAAGCAAGCACCGAGTAGGCTACGACGTAATGGGAAACTCACAGAGAAACTCGCGGATTCTTCACTGACCGCGGCACACCTGCACCAGGGTAAACCTCCGCCTACCCAGTCCTGCTTTACAGGTGAAAATAGAGCAACAGGACCGCTGAGTCTTTGACTTTATTTATTTTCTGCTGTGTTTTACTTGCATCTATTTGAAAGAGTGAGTGTAAACACAAAAAATATTTTATTTTATGTGCTGGAATGTGCAGAAAATAGGTTTAAATGTTAAACTAATTTATTCAAGTCAGAGAATGTTGCATATAATTAAATTTTTGCTTGATGCATAAAGTTAAAAGATTAAAACTGATAAAACAAGTTAAAAAAAGAGACTTTTCCATTTGATTACATTTTGTATGATGGATTATGCAGAAAAAGTAGAATTGGGCTGAAAGATCTATCGCTTTATCACCTCTTCAGGTTGTAAATCGTGTTTTTAAAAAGTAACTAAGTAACTAAGTAATTAATTACTTTTGAAAATAAGTAATCAGTAAAGTAACGGGATTACTTTTTGGGGGAAGTAATCAGTAATTAGTTACTGATTACTTTTTTCAAGTAACTTGACCAACACTGGTGACACTCGTTCTCAGTGCATGTCAGTTTAGCTGATGCTTGGGTGAATGATGTTTTTAACGAACACCTTTTATTGCTTGTAATGCACAGACACACCAACAGAGGGCAGTAATATCTCTTCAACATACATTGTAAAATTACTATTACAACACTCCCACTTAATTTTACCATGGAGTTCACTTACTTGACTGCCATTGCTTATTTCTTTCAAAAAACAACATTATGCACCTATATCACGGTGTTACTAGAAAATAAACATTTTCTCTTTTGTTTTGAACTCACACAAAAAATGTACTGTGTCCATCTTAGACAAAACTATTATTCTTCATTACAGTTAAATGCTCACCATCTTAACATAAGCATAGTATAGGCATGTTAAGCATATGATAACCCTTTTAAACTGAACACAGTCCAATCTTCCCTCTGAGATACTCAAACTTTTGTCTAGGCAGCGGTTTGGTTAACATATCAGCCTTCATGTTTTCTGTACAGCAGTACTTCAGCTGGATTTGTCCATTTTGCACACATTCACGAATGTAGTGGTAACGAATGTCTATGTGCTTTGTTCTTGCATGATCGACTGGATTTTTTGCGATTGCAATTGCTCCTTGATTGTCCTCCAGGATCACTGTTGCTGTGGTTTCCATTCCAAGCTCAGTTAGTAGTCGTCTTAACCAAACTCCTTCTTGTGCAGCTTGGCTCAAAGCAATATACTCAGCCTCTGCAGTTGAAAGTGCAACTGTTGCTTGTTTCTTGCTAAGCCAACTGACTGCACCTCCTGCAAGTAGAAAGATGTTTCCAGTTGTAGAACGTCGATCGTCCTGATCACCTGCCCAATCAGCATCTGAATACCCAACCAAGGTTCCTGTTTCTGTTCTTTGATATTTGAGCCCCAGGTTTAGAGTTCCTTTCAAATATCTCAGGATTCTTTTCACAGCTGTCAGGTGTGTAGTGTTTGGGTTTGCATTGAACCTTGACACCACACTCACTGCTTGTGCAATATCTGGTCGTGTGGCCATGGCAGCATACAATAAACTTCCAACCATTGACTGATACATGCTTGGGTTTACAGGTTGACTGACATATCACTCTTTCTTAATTTGACATTTGTGTCAGCTGGAGTTGCTACTGGATTGGCACTGTCCATTCCATACTTTTGTAGTATGTTTTCAATATACTGCCTCTGATGAAGCATAACATGGTTTTTGTCCTTGTCTTGGACCACTGAGATGCCCAGAATGTAGGATAGCTCACCCATGTCCTTCATTTTGTAGTGTTTCTTCAGAGTGTCCTTTAAGGTCTTCATGCTCTCTGCTGATTCTGTAATCAAAATCAGATCATCAACATACACAGCCAATATTTCCAACTCCTGACCTGTTCTAACAAACACACACTGATCTGAAGTACTCTGTGTAAAACCAATACTTTTCATGAACTCTGTAAAAGCTTTGCTCCAGCAACGTGGAGACTGCTTCAGTCCATATATTGACTTGTTTAGTTTGCACACTAGATGTTCCTGCCCAGGTTTGATGTAACCCTCTGGCTGCTCCATGTAGATTTCCTCTTCCAGGTGTCCATTCAAGAATGCAGTCACAACATCCATTTGATGCACATTTAGATTGTTTTGCACAGCAAATGACAACAATGTACGAATTGAACCAAATCGTACAACTGGAGAGAATGTTTCATCATAGTCTGCACCATAAATCTGTGAATAGCCTTTGGCAACAAGTCTGCACTTGTATCTTTCCACTTGTCCATCACTGTGATGCTTAACTTTAAAGACCCATTTTGATCCAACTGCTTTGCGATCCTTTGGTAGATCCACTAAATCCCATGTGCCATTTTCTAGCAGTGACTCATATTCCAAATCAGCTGCTTCTTTCCACTCCTTTGCATTTGGACTTGACATAGCCTCTTCTAGTGTATTTGGTTCTGTGACACAACAGATGTTTGCATAATGATCAACTGTAGCTGCATCAGCAAACTCCTCAAATCCATATCTCTTTGGAGGTCTTCTGATCCGCTGATCTCCTTTTGCAGCCTCACTGGCGACAGTCTCCTCAGTACTTGTTTGTCTTTCACCCGTGTGTAGTGTCACCTCATTCCCCAAACGAGATCTTTTTCACTTTGTTTGCATTTAAACTCTGTTTCATTGAAGACCACATCTCGTCGAATCAGTATTTTTCCTTTTTCCTCATCCCACAGTCGGTAGCCTTTTGCATTGGTTGCATATCCCAGGAAACGAACTTTCACTGCCTTTTTGTCCAGCTTCTTTCTCTCTGTGTCTGGAACATGAGCATAAGCAACACAACCAAATACTTTCATATGGCTAATGTCTGGTTTTTTTTCATACCATCTCTGATAGGGTGTTTCGTTCTTTAAAGCAGATGTTGGGAGCCTATTCTGTATGTAAGCTGCAGTAGCAACAGCTTCTGCCCAGAATGTGTTTGGCAACTTTGCATGTGATAGCATGCTTCTAGCTGATTCCACTAGAGTTCTGTTTTTTCTTTCTGCAACACCATTTTGCTGTGGTGTGTGTGGTACAGTCATTTCATGGTGGATGCCTTGAGCTTTCAAATATTCTTGAAACTCTTTAGATGTGTATTCCCCACCATTGTCAGTTCTGAGTCTTATTACTCCCTGTCCACATTCATTTGAGAAGATTCTTTCAAACTCTTTGAACTTGCTCAGGACTTCCGTTTTTTCTCTTATGAAATACACTTTACAACATCTGGAGTAGTCATCAATGAAAGTCACAAAGTACTTTTTTCCTCCAAGTGACTCAGTTTGAAAAGGACCACAAACGTCACTATGCACTAATTGCAACTTGCGTTTTGTTCGTATTTCTCCCACTGATTTGTAAGGTTTTCTTGATAATTTGCCCTCAACACAAGCTTCACAAAAAATGTCCTCCTCTTCATTTGTAAAGCTAACTCCTTTTACCAAGTTTTTGACTTTTTTCAGATTTGTAGTGTGACCTAGACGCTGATGCCACATACTTGCTGGAACTGAAGCAGTTGACGCTCCATGACAGGTTGTGCAGTTTCCCTCAATATCCAGCTGATACAATCCGTCAGATCTTTGTGTTCCCATTCCATGGAGAGCTCCATTCTTTCCTCTTATGTAGCAATGAGTCCTTTTGAACTTCACTGTGTTTCCCTTCTTGGCAGCAGCTCCCACTGAGAAAAGGTTCATTGATAATTTGGGAACATACAGCACATCATACATTGTGACATCTTTTCCATTACTAACTCTGAATGACATTTTCATTGTTATGTTGCCCAGACCTAAAGCCTCAACTACTCTGCCATCACCGAGTTTCACTGTTTGTGGTTCTGAAAACTCTTGGTAGTTTTGTAGAGCTTCTTTATTCCATGTCATGTGTTTTGACGCTCCTGAATCAATTAACCATTCTTCTTGTTGTGCATCACTTTTACATGACTCATTTACAACAAAAGCTCCCTCATATGAGTCCTCTTTGTCCTTATACACCACGCTTTTAGCCTTGTGGGCCTTGTATTTCTTTTTAATGCTTGGACAATCACGCTTGATATGTCCTTCCTTCCCACATTTGTAACATCTCCATGAGTCGGAGCTGTTTGCTCCCACTGTTTTTGATCCACTCTGTTCATTTCTATGCATCTGAGATGACATCGCTGATACACTACTGGACACAGTGGTGTTGTCAGTAAGCACTCGCTTTTGTTCCTCATTTATCAAGGCTTGTTGAACAAACTGTAGTGTCAGACTGTCCATCTTTGTCTCCAAAGCAGTAACAACAGTTGCACTGCTGGAGGTCTCTGACCAACACGTTCTCAGTGCCCATGTCAGTTCGTACGAGCCTGAGGAAACCCCCACGACTCTCCACTGCTTCCACAAAGTAACTTCTGATAACCTTTGGGTCACTGTTAGTGTGTGCGGTCCGCAGCCAAATGATGTTGCGTGAGAAACCGTCGATGCATCCATTAATACATATCCCATATGGCTTTAGTTTGTCATAAGAGTCTATGTGCCACACAAAGTTAGGCCCCTGAGCAAAATATTGCCTCCTTCTGAGACGTCTGGTCTGGCGAACCTGGGAACCTACTGGGTCCAGTAAAGAGATGAGGATCCTGACGTCTTCTTTCTTGATCACAATGCCGTGTTGTTTGCACTTTGTAAACATCCACCGATAACCGTGATCCTTCCCAGGCCCTTGCAGTTGGTTCACAATAAAATCTATCCCGGCGTCCAGGTCGTACTTACGTCTGTAAAGCGACTTGGCTCTCAATATCCGGTTTAAATGTCTCTCCATAATGATGGTTCCTTGCATTGCCAGGCTTTTCAAAATGCATTTGTAGCTCATTCCCAGCCTGAAATAAAACTCAATCAGACTGTCTCTGTCCATGGTGTATTTAGCCTACTTTTATGCTTGTGTCTCTACGCAGCTGTCCAGGAATTCTATCAATAAGATGTGCGCACGTTATCTATTTCGTGGCCACAAATGCGTAATTCGTTGCCACGTTATACCCAATTCGTGCTCACAAATTAGCATTTCGTGCGCACGTTATACCTATTTCGTGCCCTCGAAATAGTATTTCGTACTTATTTGTGGCCACGAAATACTATTTCGTGGCCACAAATAAGTATTTCGTGGCCACAAATTAGCATTTCGTGGGCACGTTATACCTATTTCGTGCCCTCGAAGTAGTATTTTGTGGCCACAATTTATTTATTTTTTGTACCATGTCATCAGAGGGGCTCCGTAGACAATCACACAGACACAGGCCGATGGATGCATCAGAGAGCAACTGTGGATTAGTATTTTCGCCAAGGATATTTGGTATGCATACTAGGGGGAGCCAGGGATCGAACCACCAACATTCCAATCAGTAGCTGACGTACTCTACCACCTGAGCTACAGTCACCCTGGAAGGGTGAAAGGAAAGAAAAAAGAGAAAGTAAATGGCAAACAGTTGCTGTATAGCAATGCATGGGATATAAAAGAAGGTGAATGGAGGAAAGGTGTTCACTTTAAATACTGGTTTAGCTAAACCAAATGACACACACGGGGGAAAACAAAATGGCTGCCATATAACCAACTAATACAAAACAATTAAACAAACTTGAAACACCCCCCAGGTAATGAAGCATGTACACAGCAAAATCTCCAGTGTTAAATTAACACTGGAGAGTGTCTATATGGGTCTTATGAGTTATTTTCCAGTGTTAGAAAACCAGCACTGCTCAGTGTTAGTCTTTGTTAATCTTCAAAACTTACTAGGTTACTTTTAAACATATAACACTGTCAAAAGTGTTAATTTAACACTGGAGATTTTGCTGTGTAGTTTCATCCAATTAGGCTGTCAATGGTACTTCAGCTCTCCCAACCCTTTGCTAGACAGGAAAGAGAAGCCAAACCTCAGGTAGCTCAAACAAAGAAAGATGTATTAATATAACATAAAACAGAACTTTGACCTTGCAGTGTTAATCTGTGCACGCCATATAAACATTGGAAGGTGTAATAAAAAAAAATCGAATAAAGAGACAATATTTGACAATATTTAAAGCAGTGACTGCAAAGTAAAGTAAAGTGAATCAAATGGTGGGAAGGTGTGGCGCTTACCATGTGTGGCTTGCCATCACAATGAGAATGATGTCAGACAAACAACCTTTGATGATACATATTTTACATTTAATTTTTTTTAAATCCCCAAATTCAGAATGCTGTTTAGCTGTTTTCTTGTGACAGTACAAACTTGTTCATAGAAACTTCACATTACCATGCACCAACTGTGTGTAATGGTATAATAAAGGTAGAAATAGCACTAGAAAAGTGCAAAAAAAACCCCAAACTTTTCAGGACTTTCTTTTTCTACAAACCTGTGTTGCTTGTCTACAAACAGTTCTCTAACCCTCATGGCAATTTTTCTTTCTGATATCCTTCATATGCTGGGATATTCTATTAACATTTTCTTCAAAACCAATTTTATTCTGACCAGATGAAATGGAGGCAGGATATAATTCAGTTCATTTAAAATTAACAATGAGAGAAATTGCAAGGAAATAAGTCTATATCTAGATGGCTAAAAAATGGCCTATATTGTAACCTAATACATGACTGTAGAGCTGAATCTACACCTGTTTGGTAAAAGTCCCAGCAGAAAATAGATACAAATCCAATTCCATGAATGTCGCTGTAATTTTTTTTTCTTCTGCAATTTCCGTAGAATTATATTTCCTTCACAG